TCATGGCTTCCTGGCAGCCGTCACCATGTCAGACAAGAAGAACAGGAGGAAGGTCCAAGTGTGAATTGCAGAGATGGTCGTCTGTTGCGTGTAGCACGTTTAACACTCAGAAATGAGACGCACCATAAGGCGTGCTGAATGACGTGTCTTTTCATGATACGGTAACGAGCGGTAAAGACGATGATTATCAGAGGGCCGATGGTGAATAATTTTTTTGCACTTCGTCTTGCCATGCCATTCGTTACCGTGGTCGGTGTTCTTTTCTTTTGCCTGCATCTTCGCGAACACCGTTAGGTTTCACGCATCGTTAATGCGCCCCCGTGTCATATTTTCTCACGGTCAATTTGCTAAGTGTAAATTAACGTCGGCCGTCAGTCACTGTTAATAGAGCAGTTTTAATACTGTCGAAATCGCGGTTAATCAGCTGTTTCGACGTCGCCATTCCGGCTGAAGTTCTTTAATTTCGAAACGCGGCCTCGGCGGCACTATCAGCGACTCTGATCTTCGTTGTTTGACTCCGGAGTGATAAATCATTTTTGTCGGTCGTCCGTCGAAGTTTAGCGTCTAGGCTGAATGATGGGTCCTCCGCTGCTAACTTTCCATCAGATGTTGGACATGAATCGGAATCGACTTGCCGGACGCGATGAAATTGATAACAACGAAATTAATTTCATGGTATTTGTGCTGCTATCATAAACAACAAACAGCCGCCATTTGCCGCACAGAAAAGCATGCCATTTCATGGTCGTTTATTATATAGCAGAAGTTGATCATCGAGGTGTATTTGTTGGTGTTTTTATTTGACCAAATACAGTGATGCCGTTTTGCCATAATACCACGGAAGGGTGGCCTGCTGAAAGGTCGATTAAGGCACAGGAGGTAACGGAAACGCGCGATCCGGATCCGCAGAAGCGACTTATATGTGTATGCTAAGCAGTAGCGTCAAAACTAGCTTTTCTCATTAACCCAGAATATCATGATATTTCAATTTATAACGGACAAATGCCAAACTGTTTGCTGGCGAGAGGTAATATTTGAACGGCCAATATGGGCATTACATTCGAATCGGAATGATACGTGTTATTAAGCGCTTTTTGTAAACTTCCGTTTTGAACAGTGAGTCCATTCTGGTCTCAAGGTTCTCTGACACAGCCATCAGCGAAACACGTAACGGGTCACTGAATTCGAAAAATGAATCATAATGCCCTTATGGCCTATTCATTCCAAGAAAGCCAATATCGTACCCGTACCTAGGAGCTTATCGTCAAGTTAATTTGCCCAGTCGACACTTTACAACCACAGCATGCTTGCTAAACCTGACAGATCCCGATAGCTTTTTTCAGCGTTAATTCATTCCTACCATTCAGTTGTACGGTCTGCTATTCTTTTCAGAATATGGGTTAGCATCTTCAGAAGTCTCGACAGTAATAACGGTCTCATATCCTTGGGTTAGCTTCTCCACGAGATTCTGGGATGCGACAAAACGGCATATTCAAAACGCTTGACTTAAGTGGCTCTTCATCCGTTACGCGGTTTGCCATACGTCGTGCGACGCTCCCCCTGGCCTTTACACAACGTTACTAAACCATCGAGATCTTCATCTCTAGATGCTTCAAGGAAGATCAACTCGCAAGCGAGAGATAGAGTCTGAGATAATGCTCATCCACCTGGAATCCTTTAAAAAAATGCTGCTTGTGCGCTAGTTTCATGTTTATGCGGTAGCACATAAGGAAAGCCAGCTGCTAATACACCTCGCAATGAGTGGTGGAGGAATGTCTAGCCGACCAAATGACGCGAGACGCATATGACACTGCAGTTGCTCAAATACCATGGAGTTGTGGCTTGCTTAAATGAGACCCTTTGGCAACTATGAGCAAGAGCGCGTTGCAGTGGGCCATGAAATCTAGCCTAAGACAAGTTGTTTGCAATTTAACATACTCCGGCACATGATATTGCTTAGATGTTTATTTTATATTAAAATATTATTTCAATTCTTAATGGGGGTGGGGGGGGGATCGGGAAGCATGGTTCGTAATCCTGCTTAAATGTGGGTCTCGAAATAATACCAGTAGGATGAGAATGAGACGATGGTTTCTTGTCACTCGCCGATGGTGTCTCTCATAGACATAACCCTCAAAAAGTGCTCCTCCTCTTTTCTTAATTCTA